ATAAATATATAAAAGAAATATATATTTATTAATAATTCATATCTAACTTATTAATAATTTAAATAATAAAACAATAAAATAATTAAATAATAAAGTAAAAAAATTAATTAATAATTTAAATAGAAAAAAAAAGTAAAAAAAAAAAAAAAACAAAATGATGAACTAGACTTTAGGGGTGCCATTGGTAAACCCTTGGGGTGCCATTAACCCACCCCTTTAAATAGAGACCCCCCATGGTTTGACAAGATGTTTTTAAGGAATTTTAACCTTACAAAACGTTTTGAAATCTTTGATGTGTTATTTTATACGACTTCTTAAATAGAATAGAATTTTATTATTTATAAATAATTTATAAAAAATTATAAAATAATTAAATTATCTTTTTATTAATTTATTCATATAAAACAAGTGTTTTTAATATATTTTAAAACATTACAGAATTCCATAAAATACCGACTACCTTAATGGGATTTTTAATATCCAAGCAATCCTTCAAATCAAACATGAGATTATAATGAAATTGAATTCAAATCCCTTCAAATCTGATTCAATCCTACAAACCAAACATGACGTTAAACTTTTCAATAAAAAAGATCCAACGCACCTCTATATATTGAATTGGGGTCTACTTGGTAGTAGGTACGATGTAAAGTTCTTTTTTCTCCGATACCGTATACCAATCAATTATAATTGATGTGTAAAATCTTATATTATATACCAACCAACTATACTTGGTATCAACTTTTTTCGGTTGATACATATTGGTACTGATTTTTTACCAATTTTAAGTTACATATATGAAAACTTGTTATTATGTTCAAATTTTGAGTGAGTATTTGAGTTTAAGATAATATATATGTTGTTTAAGGGTTTTTGATTGCAAGGATTAAAACTTGCAAATATTCGAATATAATACTTAAAAGCTACAAAATTTAATATTCAATATGTAAAAAATTCAAAAACTAATAATGTAACACCATATTTTATGAGTCATTTCATATTTTAGAAATTCAGATTTTTGCTGTTGAATTCGAGGTGAAGATGGAAAATATGGTTAAAATAAAGTTTAGTGATTTCAATGAAGACCCAATGAAACAGTGAGTCGGGCAACTTTCTGGGCAGCTCAAACCACCTGGAAAGAAGCCGGGGCTACTGGATTGTGCAACCGACCAAAAACTCGAGTGGGAAATGAGACGGTGGGCCAGACGGTGTATGGTGCGGTCTAAACCGCTAGGGCAAGGTGCCTCAACGCAGGTTGGAGACGCACGACGAGTATGCTGTGTGGGTGAGTCGTTATGGGGAGCAAGCGGCCTCAGATTTGTTGTACTTTACTATTGATTTGTTGACACAAGGAAAGATAAATTATATAAATTTTCATTTTATAAATATAAGGATTTATTCGTTCATGGACTTGATCAAAAAGACATTCAAAGACTAGATCAAAGACACTTTTGAGCCTTTAAATAAGTTGACTTTTTAATCTAATTTAGGGTTCGTTTACCAAACGCTTACCCGGGTAAGCCCTTACTCAATCACACTACTTCACTAGATGAATACGGTAAAGACCAAGAATCTTACCCGGTAAAAGCGCAACAAGAATCAAGTGTCTTACCCGGTAAGTGAAGACGACGACACTTATCACAGTAAACGCTTACCGGGTAAATTTTTGCATACAACATTGTTTTGGTGGACTAAAATCTTACCCGGTAAGTAAATAATAGTGTTAAATTTTACCGGTAAGCACTTACCGTTTGGTAAACAACCCCTTAGTTTTTTCTTCAACCAGAAGAGAACTTACATTGATCGATCGGTGACACAATGGCTTCATGGTTGCATCATAAGGGGAAAAAAGTATGTAAACGGTGCCACTATATTATTTTTGTTGGATGTCACCATATAAGATGTTGGATTTGTTTGTGACACAATGGCTTTCCTCATTATTGTCGGATTTGTTAACAGTGTCACACACGGCTAACACTCCAACCGTTAAATTGACATCCAAACACATACCTGCTAATCCACACAAGTTCAATCAACGACCTGCTAACTGAAGAAACCACGATTTTTTTTAAAGATCAAACGGATTAGCATCGGACTTCAAATTCTTCAAAGTTTCCAGAGAAATGAAACCAAATAAAACTTTATATTGCATCCTACTCTAAACAGTACAACTTGAAAAACTACACTTTCAATGATAAAATGTTCAAAATGTGCATCAGGAACATGTTTGGTGGATTATTACTAGTGCATCAATAAGCAAAGTAAAACAAACGAATTCAAAGATTGGATGTATGCAGACCTGTCATCTGTCCAAATGATTGAGTAACTGTGTCCACGACGACCCCGCTTATAGAAAAGTGTGAGCAAAAAGGAAAGAAGAACCAGTATTAGTGCATCAACGGATCGCTCAAATGAGCTTTCATAGGTCTTCCAGAAAAAAGTACGACTATGTGATCTTCTATAATAATATCTAAATCCAAAGAGCTCTCGTCAACGATAATATATAAAAATTCACATGCCGCATTAATGAAAAGGAAAAATACCAAATAGAATATAGATGCCGATATTGAAATTGAGCATGTTTTTACTATAAAACTACATACGACATGAAACATGTCAGATTCGTGCCTCAAGAAGTACGAGTGAATAACAAGACATATTTGATGTAAAGAGATGTTCACACCTTTAGCTTTGCCCTCCCTTTGAACTTAAGCGTTGAGCCGCCCGCTCAAGACTTGGTCTATGACGACTCAAACCATGCCACGACCCAGATGAACCATGGTTCCAATTTCCAAGCTTAGCAATCTGTTTATGCAAGACCAAAAGGTTCACGAGGGGTGCGGTTGTTGGTCGACCATGAGCACACTGGACCACAACACAAATCACATTTTCCAGTGGTTAAAATACACCAACCCAAAAAGGGTAAAGAATAATAATAAGTTTCTTTTACTTCACAACTCACCTGAAAAGACAATGTTGTCCGCTTAAGCTCTTCAACAATAAGAGAACATTCTGAAGGGAGTAATGCATCTCCAAACATGATTGCACCTATTTATTAAATTATTAATCTAAGTAATAACATATGCTGATCAGTTAGATATTTCTCTAGCATATGTAAATGACTTTATAAGAATTCTTCTGCAAGTAACAAGAAAATATGCGATAAGAGTTTTCTTCTTTTCTTTTCCTTTCTTTGTTGGGGTTCTAACTTAACATAATTGACAACATTTAACTATAAAAAACATCATATAATGGAAACATTTGAAAGTAAAAGATAAGCCTATGGCTAGGTTTGCATCTCAAAAATCAAAAATGGACTTGCTTTTTTGGAAAATTTTAAGCCGAATTAACCTATTTGCTTTCATTACAACTAACTGATGCTAATAAGAATCCAATATTTCCTCATTACTGGAGGGCAGCCAAGAGATTTACAACTATGTAAAGTGAAATTTGCAATTTCCATGGTACTGAACAAGCAAAAAATTTGGCAGTCAGTTTTTTATGTCGAAAAAAGTTGCACAGCATGTAGATAAGAAATGATGCTCTTAAAGACATGGAGGTGAATTCTTGACATGAAAGGACTGTACCCCTGCAAGCTTTGAAATTTAGTACCCGAAGAACAGCTGGTGGTATTACTGATGATCCGTCAGTATCAGCAAGCTGATAAATAAGTTGGAATTAGAAAAGATTGCACAGTGAAAAGGATGGAAATAATAATTCGAGGATAAAACTCATAGACATCCTCAAGACAATAAGCAAGTTTTTTTTACAAACCTGTTCTAGAAATTCTAGGAGATCCACATCGGTTAAATTGACGCCCAAAATACAAGGCACCTGTTTGCCAAATAAAAATTGGATATCTTACACTTAAGAAAGAACTAAAAAGTGAGCTTTTTTCTTTTATAAATTGCAAACAGAAAAAGGTTCCTTTAAATTGAGAGGGAAGTAGCAAGTAATAAATATGAACGATTAAGGGGATTTCAGAAGATAAAAATATGGCTCAGATCCTATAATTGTCTTTGTAGTTATTTTTTGCCGATTTAAACCATTGACGGTGAATATACGTATACGTTTGGAGTTTCTCAAAATTTTATAATGAGGTCTCTTACGTTAAAATCTCCAGGCTCGAGTATAAACATATAACAGTGCACATTTCTAGATGTGATAAAGCATAAAAAAATGAACAACAACTTAAGAATTCTGACTTACTGCAGTAAGTGTGGCAACAGAGCGCTGGTTGTGCAAAAAATTCAAACTCCTGTGGAAGGAAAAAGAACAACCTTTCAGAAATGTGAAAAAAAAAAACATGCAAATCTGTCTCAAATAGTCGGTGAATCTAATTACTTTCTAAAGGACACTGAACTCTGAGCATGGAAGTTGCAGACCCAACCCCATTTCTGGATCTGTTCAAAATAATTGTTTAGTAATTGGTATCCAATCTCCGGTAAAACCTGTGTCAAAGATGTAAACAATCCATCAGAGAAAAAAATCTCATAACCAAAATGCTTGGTGGAAGTCAGAGAAAGGGCACCAAGAATTGCTACATAGAGAATACCAGTTCTTGTTCTGCATCCAGATAGGTGACTGTTTTCATTTCTCCAGAGAGAACCTATAAAATTTGGTGATCCCTTAGGCCATATTAAATACCGTTTGAAAGCTCAAGAAGTACCTTTATACCTTTCCTCTCAAATCTTCAAGTCGAATTCTTTCATCAGCGGCGTGCTGCAAACATAACGATTACCAGTGATCAGCTTAATGCAACCAAGAAAGGTGGCTCAAAAGACTTCAACTTGACCCTTTAGGAAACTGCATTTTTTCTGGTAATTGTGGTGTCCGGGCCTGCTTGCAGTGCCTCTATTCATCCCAGTGGCCCTAAGGAGACTCTAACTGGCAACCCATGGGGAGAAGCCCCAGGGCCTAGCCTTTGTTTGCCAGTTGAGCTGGCCTTTAAGGTTAACTATATGCATTATGAAATTGCTTCTGAATATTAAATGTGAACCTAAAATATCTCCATTAACAAAAACTCTAATTAATGTTTAGCTAGAGAAAAGACATGCAAATGAATCTGAAGCTTCGGAAGAGTTGATATGCCTGGTCAATAATAGCAAGTATTCCGCCAACCACAACTGGAATGAATTTCTTGTCAACTTGTTGAAGAACTTTAGAATCCTCCAAGCATCTCTTCGTGATAGACTTGGGTAACAGAGAATCACCAAGAAGGTGCAATATCCCAGAAGATATGTCAAGAATGCTGTCTTGGTTGGTATGATCATCAGGATTCTCCATACTCTGTCAATAAACAAAGTAATCAAACTGGAAATTTATTGCTCAATTCCGTTGTGGTTAGGAATAAACCAGAATGTATATAAGATTTGTAAGGTACTCAACTGTAGTCCTATGACATTCATTCCTCCATTTTCCCCCAAAATCTAATGCACCTTGATTTTCCTTTGAGGTGACACCTGAGGGTTTGACGTGTAATGTAAGTAAGGCTGTAAACAAACTGAATTAACATGAGCGGAGGCCTGTTCATGTTCGTTTGTTTAACTTAATCGAACAAATGAATGAATGGTAAACAAATGAATCTTTCTTGTATTCATGTTCGTTTGTTAAAAATTTAATCTGCTATCATTAACTATTCTGCACAATCACTCATTATCCATAGTAAAAAGAACAAAAAGTATGTGTGAATGGTGATATACTATATCATATACTTGATATGTGATAATGTGATTATCTAATACTTGAAAGATTTTGAAATCTCGAGTAAAAAGTATAGTAAATACAAACAATAATGTATTTTAAATTAATTAATGAATCTATTATTAACTATATAATATATTTTTATAAATAAACACAAACGAACATAAATGAACGAAAATACAAACAAATGAACATAAATAAATGTTCACGAACGGCCCTTTTATTCGTGTTCGTTTGTTTAACTAAACTAACAAAAAGAAGTTGTTCATGTTCATTAGAGTAAACTACAAACTTGGTCCCTGTGATTTGTCATTTATAACGCTATTCGTCCTTACAAAATGGCCATCATGGTTTGCAAGAACGTCCGGGTTTGGCACCTCCCTCTAGCGGCCGTTAACTCCCCCCCCCCAACCCCCACAGTTAAATTAGGGGAATTTTAGACATTTTACACGTCTCTATCATTTATCTTTAAATAAATTAAATCTAATTAATACACATTATGTTATGTTAATTATATATATTATATTTAATATACTATCATACTATATCACACCTATAATATACATATATATAGGGGTGAGATCGGGGGAGAACCTTGAATAAGAAAAGAACTGAAGAAACACGAAAAACCGGATGAAAAAATATATCAAAATGGATGTCAAATAAAAGATAATAAAGTGATCATTTTTTTGGTGTAATTTGTTTTGCTCCAATTTTCGTTATATTTCACCGATAGTCAATTTCAAAAATGGGGGGATATTTTTTTTAAAAGGTGGTTATAACCACCTCTTTAACCACATCAGTTGGATCATCACAATCAACGGGTTGGATGAGTTCTTCGGTTCTTCTTTTTCAGGGTTTTCTCTAGATCTTTTACCTCTATATATAGATGCACGAACTGTTTTCCTCTAATGAATGGTACCACCGATGATGAGTCCCCCCGCCTACAACTCATTCTCCTCTTGTCCGCTCGCAACCATCTCGCCAGCGTCTCCTCAGCCATCTCGTCGTGCACCTGCACCTCAATGGACAATCTGCGCACCTGTTGCAACCATCTGGTATTCCAACATCAAAGAGGTCCGATGAAGTCAGACTCCAGTCTCCTCTTATCCCTCCTGTTCTCAATATTGATGTTGGGGTTTGGCTGAGAAAATGGTTGGAGGAGGGGTGCCGGTGGAGTTAACTGGAAAGAGAGTGGCTGCCGGAAAGGAGTGAGGGAATGGGATGTTGAATTTCATATTGTCATTCTTTTAATGGATGAATCTAAAAGATTTTAAGTATTAATACAAAAATAAGGCAAATCTAATAAGATGAAAATGCCCCTCACTTAACCACTACAAATTAACAGCCTTTAGAGAGAGGGATCAAATTCGGACTCTTGCAAACCACGATGGCCATCTTGTATTTTCAAAACTGTAAAGACGAAAAGTGTTATAACCAACAAACCACAAAGACCAAATTTGTAGTTTACTCTTTCTTAATAAACAAACTTCCTGCCAAACAGTTCTTTAAATGTTTGATTCAATTACAGGCCTAAATATAAGTGTTATGTTATCGTATACGCATCCAAGATTTCTTCAAATGGAAAACAATCCTTGCTTTATAGGGTTTCCTTTTTTTTAGTTACTAGTTATTTGGATTTCTTTCTTTTTTTTTTCCAAAGAGGGTGAGAGAAGAATATGTAGCTACAATTCCTGGTAGACTATCATCTTATTCTATCTCATAATTAAGAGCCTTCACCTCCAATGATGATGGGAAGTTAAGAGAAGTTTTGCAATTTTAGTGGTCCAAAGAGGTGTTCAGAAACATGACAATCCAATACACCCTTGCCCACAAAACCTATGAAACACTCACACGTATCAGCAGAGGTACAAGTCAAACCTACAATTAACAACTGATATACCTGAATCTGTCTCGTAAACATCAAGCCAATGGGCCGCCTCCCCTTCATAATCTGAAATCTCAGCTTTATCAATAATTTTCTTCTTATCATGTCTAGAAAGAAGAAAAAACAATTATATCAAATCAAATCTGCAGATTCAAACTACCACATACATCAAAGGTGTGATATTACCTAGACTTAGACTGCGAGTCAATTGCAGGACCTTCATTCTGTGACAAGTGATCAACACCTGATGATTTCTGTAGGTGCTTCAGATGACTGTCTTCTGCACACCAAATAGCTAAAAATTAGTTATGAGACCTTGCCCTATGTCATGTAAAGATAATGTAGAGAGAAGTTCAGAAAACACCTTGCAATGTAGGGGCATTATGAAGTGCCTTATAGCAGGATTTCCCAGATTTAATGGTCGTCCAACTAGTTAGGGCAAAGAACTTTTTCTTCCCTCGGTAAGATGGTGGGGCCGAGCGGCTTCTTCTTGGGTGCTTATCCTGAAGGCTACATTGAGCTATCTTGCTCTTTTCCCCATCGGCATAAAATGATGATGACACATGATGTGGTGCTGCTACAGGTACAAAAGTTTTATGTTTGCCATTGGACTCGGAACATGTCCGCTCTGTTTCGTTCAGGAAATCACACTGCTGTGGGAACAAAACACTGTCGATTTGAGAGTTTCTAATATTCTTTTTGCATCTCCCATTGCCCTTGAGGAATGAGGAGGCAACCATATGACTGGAAAATGAGATGTCCTCTTGGGGAGAGCTATATCTCATGTCATCAAAGTTAAAGATATCCTTTTCTACTTCACCAGCTGAAAGGTCAAATCCATCATCTCTGCAATGTTTGAAGTTCCTTTTAGACACAAAAAATGCAGAACTAAACGTAGAGGCAGGCGAGTCAAATTCAGAAGGCCGATGACTTGATTTAGAACATTCAATTGATGCAACTGGACTGGCCCAAAAATTGTTATCCTCTGTAAAGCACTCTCTACCAGTGGAATGTGAATCAAGTGACCCTTTTGATAAAAAGGAAGAGCCTGTACCCAAGTTGAAGGTAGTGGTATTCCTAGGAGGCGACCAAACAGTTGCAGCATCATCCAGCCATGGTTCAGAACCTTGAATAGCATAATCAGCTTGTCCATAATCAACTCTATCATCCATGCAAAGCCATTTACTAGAACCATCAGCTTGAAATCTGAATTGATTGTCACCTCTTTTGCTTCCCACAACAGGTAACAGACCCTTGTGAGAGGAGCAACTTCTCAGAAACGGCCTTATAAGATCATCATCAACCTCTTCATCATCATCATAATAATGAAGAGGAACAGCAGATGGTTCTTTCACAACTAATCTGTTGTTTGTACCATAGTCAGTTTGCAGAGAATTTGGATTCCATTTGGCATCTGAAAGATGGTCCACATATTCACTGGACAGCTCCCTACTACACTTGTTCTGTAAGTAAATATCCTCTGAAGAAATGTAACTATTAGGTTTTCCCAGATGGTTGCCACTCTCTTGTAGTACGGAGGTTTTTCTTTCAGGCAGAGATCTGCCACCAAATTCTAGCAAATTGTCAGTCAGACAGTCAAAGTCCATTTCGATTCGATACTCTTTGGACTGTACAGCCTTTCTTTGTGAGCGGTTACTTGAATATCCATGGTATGGCATATGCTTTGGCTCTTCTCTTGGCATCTTTTGTGGGGGTGAGGAAAGGACAGCCTGATGGCACAGTGTCATGCGCCTCTTCTTTGAAAGTCCATAATCATCCAGGAGATCTGATTCACATGATTTTAACAACAAGAATCCATGCACAATGCAACAGGAAAAACTATACTGCAAGTCATTTATATTATATACTGGTTCCATTCGATATAAAGTGTCAGCATATGAATTACCATATAGTTTAAGGAGCCCATAAACCAAACTATGAAGGGTAATGTTTCTGTTTTACCCTACACATGTAATATGCTAATTATGGAAATTTCTTTGTTTATCAATATATGAACATCAGGTAAGTAAGTTGGCATCTCTCGTAAGAAGCTTATTAACATAGAAGGATTCTCATACGCATATAATTAGTATAAGAGACAACGATGTGGTGCCCAGACAGACTCTTCTGTAGCTGACTAGTAGAGTCGGAACATGATTAAGAACTCACAGTAAACAGGATTTCTTGCAATGCCCACAAAGTAGGAGATTTTTATATAGATGGAAAATCATATAAAAAACATAAAAAAAGAAAAAAAAAACTTAACATAATTTAAGAGATGTTACATGTTCCTTATTTTATGTATTTATAGAACCCAATAAATGGTGTATCGGTATGACACTTATTAACTTGGAGCAGAAAGACTACTGCTGTAAGAATCTTTTACTTGCGCTGAAAAGTGAAAATAGCACCTAAATCCCTAAATCTAGAGAAGAACGCAATTTACTTTAAATAGTGATATTGAAGAAAAGAAAAGGCAAACAGAAATGTCTGTCAATAAAAGAAGTGATATTACCATCACTCATTGCTAAGGCATCAGCTCCTTTCCATATAGCATCTTCTTCAGACATAGGTGCACCTTGACAGATTAGAAGACATCGAAGTCCAATTTAAATATTTGATTAGTAACTGAACAACTCAATTGTTACGAATAATGATCAAGTTCATCAAAAATCTTTGTTTAGAGTTACCATAAGGCATTCCCTGACTCCAAAAGCATGAAACGGCTTTCTTAACGAAAGTAAATATAGGATCCCAGTCCTGAAACAATGATACAGATAGTTCAACGGTCAAAATAGAAACCAAAATTCCAAAGTGTTAACCGAGTAGAAGTTTACAAGAATAAACTCAATCAGTAAAGTAAAAGCACCATAGCATCAAAGGACACATCATAAGTCAAAGGTTATAAGCAGATGTTACCTTGAATGCAACACAAGTCTTGGTAGGTTCAAAGCTTAAATCATACTGAGCTCGTGGGCAAGTTAAGTTCAATATGTAGGTTGGAGATGCCTGACACCTGCTTCGCTTTCCACATTGAGACCTAATGTCAGCCTTCAACAAATCTGAAGAGCTGTGCATAGTAGCCACCTGATTCAGCAATTTATGTAGTGGGCCTCTAGATACATATCTTGAACTGATATCTTTGTTCAAAGGTCAAAAAGAACAAATGTGGTAATATATTTTTACACATTTATCTACCCATGAGCCCATTACATCCAAATGTCGTAATATAACTTTACCCTTTTTACCCGTAAACCCATTTATAATTGTATGGAAGGGTCATTAGCCCAGCGGTACCCAGTCACCTGTAAAGCCCAACCTTCATGGAGGTCAAGGGTTCAATCCTCACCAAAGGTTAGGAGTGTGGGTGAGTATTTTCCGTATAATCGTATATAGATAGTATATACTTCAAAACAAATTACAACGAAGCAATGCAAGAACATGGATACAGAAATATTGGAAGGCCTGCAAAATAAGCAACCTTGAAATGAATGACGACAAAAACAGAAGAAAAGAGAGAACTTGAAGTATTTAGTGTCAACGAACATACCTTCACAGAGAGAGTTTCATAAGGGCCAGATATGTATCCAGAAAGCCTTAATTCACCCTCAGATGCATCCAACTTATGTAGAGAACTGGTGACCTCAGTTCCAAAACCACTCATCAATAGGGGCAAAGGGGACGATGAAGGATACAAGCAAAGAATCTCATCACCGCTGCATGAAGATGACATATTTTAACTTCTTAAACATAAAAACTGAAACATATAAGCTGCATGTGTGAAGTGATCACCTCTCAATATCAATTATTTTGAAGCAGGTTCCCAGGTGAACAAGAGCAATTCTCAGTATGCATTCTTTGACGGAGTGCAGAACCTTTTTGGGGCTTCCAATATATGTGATACCATGAACACGTTATATCAGTATTAGGAACAAGCAGTTCGATACAGCAATTTAAGATACTTGAAACACTATATATTTATGAACTAAAATAAAGCAAAGAACCTAGAATGTAAATGCCTCCTCCGAACTGGTTGGTTGTAGAATAAATCTCGAACAACAACTGCAACAACCAAGACAGGCCTTAACAAAATAAACTAAATTTGTTCATGCTTAGCTATAAGCAAACCATGGCTTCAGAGGAGAATGGCATGAATCAAGGAGTTTAATCATCTAACAGCTAACACAGCTTAGAAATACCATGTTTGAAATACAAGAATACATTATTAAAACTATATATATCTGAAGGTTACCAGCTTTCTCAGTTGCAGCAAGTATTTGTCCAGAATTATTTAACAAACATATAACTATATAAATGATTTTCACAGATATTAAGATCATGCAATGAATCTCCATCTCATCTACATAATGATAATGAGCTTCCCATTTTCTTGGTGTATTATCTAGTCATTGCTGTGCACACAAGAATTTGATCCACCTGCGCAAGTGAAATTCAATCATTGTAGCATGAATGCCAATATGTACTACCTAAGGATTGTGTAGTAGCTAACTGCAACTATCAATAACTAATAAAGCAAAAGAAAAGGCCATTGAGCCCAACAATCATATTGAATCTTTTCCCCTACAATGTGCTTACAAATGGTCACACCTTCAACACAATGACGCATTATGGTGGAGCTCTTGAGGATACTTAGAGGTATCTAGTGCATTATTAAATTACCAGTTGTGCCAACATCTTGTCTATCATCATCAATCCCTAGATACAAGCATTTGCAACCCTGAAAATTAGAAAAGCAAGCTGCCATGACATGTTAATATAAGAATGTTGACATTCAAAAGATTCATACCTTTATGACCTTGCGGTAGCCGTTCGGCATTCCATGAGCCTTTGTAACAACTTCCAACAAAGAAACGTCAGAAATTGAGCTTAGGGCTTCCCCGCGAAAGCCAAAGCTTTCTGGAACAGTGTTCATATCAGCCAGCAGCTCAAACTTAGAAGTTGCTTCAAATAACATAAACACAGTCATACAACAATAAATGGAACTATAAGAATTGTCTAGAACCCAACTATTTTTAACTCAATATCTCTCCTACATGACTTCCTTTATAAAGCAGTCATTTATTTTAAGCATTATTATACTTCTGAGACTAGACACATAAAATATAAGAGCATTCATTTAGATGTTCATCAGAATTGAAGTAAAATACAAATGCTATGCAAGGATATCCATGTTTTTGGGCACTTATAACTTATAAGCAACTTGATCAAACATAAGAATTAGTTAGCTTAGATATACCAAAATTATTTTAGTGACACTCAGCATTCGACATTTGGGAATATGTGGTTCCATATCATATTACAATGTATTTATTAGCTTCTCATTATTATTAAATTTTTATGCAATGTGGTTCCTCAACTTTCATGCATGGGAGCTAAAAGAATTATGCAATAAGGTTACTCAACATTTAGAGGGTTAAAGTGGTGAATTTATTTTTTTGTTAATAAGAAGGTCATTCAGAACAGTTATCAACCATTATTTTCCATTAAGCAGCAATTTTATTTTATGCATCAGCCATTTAAAACTCTTATCATTCAGTTCCATCATATTGAACCTAATGCATTTATATCAGAGAACTTATTTTTTTGAGGCTGTAGAACTGCAGGAAAGTAAGGATGAGAACTTGATACGAATCAACCACCATCCAATGTTCATTTAGTTCCCACGCAGTTAAAAGTTCTAATTTAGCTCAAGGTAACAGCATGAGGCATCAATGTAATGAACATACAAATGCATCATGTGGATGGATATGATACTATTTTATGGAACAAATTTTCAATTACCATATCTTTCTCCCAACAAAACCAATCCATCCCGAGTGATACCACAACCTGCAAAACAATACTTTTAGAATATAAAGGAGAAAAACAAAGATGAAGTTAGGTCACATATCACTCTTGTGGAATTAATGTCGATTACCATTGTCTGTAACTTTAATGTAGTTGGTCCCGACATTTATCGCTACAATCACCTGACAGAACAAGTGTTGGCTTCAAAAAGTTGCACTCTCAAACATGGAAGAGCAAAACTTGATTCAGCAGAAATGCAAAACAGGTCAATTGAAACATTTGTCAAAGCAAACCCACACATCAATCATTTAACCATATAAACAAAACTACAGCATAGATAAGGCTGCAGCATTGCAGCTTGGAAGCAAGGGTATGAGATAACATGTCTACACAGGTTCATTCAAATACAGTTGAATTCGGAATTATGTAGTATTTAGCCATATAAACGAAACTACAGAGCTTATAGGCCAGTAGACAAACTGGTGCAAGAAGATATTAGTTTTTTTATGCTTTGTCCTCTTTATAAGGGATTTCTGGCTGGAGTTTAGTAAACAGCTAACCAATATGAATTTACCGCATGAATATGAAATACATTTGATGAATCTGAATTATAAAAATGCATAAGCCTAGCCGCTTCATGAGTCAGTTTTATGCAACAACTTAACCTAAGGTGGATTTGTTGATCCACATCATATGTAATTCCAATTACTACTAACATGCTGATACAGAGGAAGCATGTTGGATATCATAATAACTCTCACCTAAAAATGCATTTCCATAGCTCAATTAATTATGTATAGAAGATCTCCATGAACTTATATGATTACCTTTGTGGCATCTGCATCAAGGCTGTTGAACACCAGCTCTTCTACAACCCTCGTCAAGTCAAACAAAATGATGCCCGAACGCATAGAACTCCGAACAGATTCCGGCAATGCCTTGATACTCCTCATTTCCAATATCAAGATAATGATACCAGGTTTTCATCACTCCACTACTCTGTGTAACACAAGCACACCATACAATTTGAATTTATTAATGCAAGCTCCATCACATACTTACGTCACCATATTTCTCACAAACCCTATAATTAAGTCTTCTCTGCAAACCCATTTACCCAAAATATATAGCCATATCTTGAATTGTTAAATCTATAATAGAAGGCCGCTATATTTAGGATTTCAAAGTTTCATCGCTCATCAAACTCGTCTTTAACATAAACAAAATTCAAGATGCAATTGATATCATTAGTAAAAACTTCACTGCATACCTCCGCCCTCCAATTTTGTTGTTAAAATGTCTGAATGTAATATAAATCAGAAAATCAAGAATATGCAACCCAAAAAATTTGGCATTTTGATTTCTTAACGAACCATTGAAGAATACTTCGAGAAAAATCCTAACTAACATCAAGAACACCGTCACCAGAAAACGTTTTTCCAAAAAAAGAATACCATCACCAGAAAAACCCTACCTGCCTTGTAACTTCTTGATTCTGAATCACCAGAAACCCATATTTGCTCCTCACTGGATCACCATCCTCACTAGAATTAGTAACACCATCACCACCACCGTCCCTGCCAAAAAAAACCAGGAACACCCTATCTGCTATTTTCACGCAAAACCAAAACCAAAACCAAAACCAAAACCAAAATCGAGTGGGAAGGAATGAACCTCGATAACCAAAAACAAAATCAATGACCAAAACCAACAACAAAATCAGAAACCCAAACCAAAACCAACCACACAGAACAGCACAAGTGAACAAGGAGAGGTTGGATGATTATCTTTCTTGTGAACAAAGGGCCGATTAGGGACGAACCAGAAGGCTCCTAACGCAGTTCAAAGAGAGACAGACTTGATGAGAATTTAGGGTTTTCGCTCCTTGCACGGAGAGGCTGTGGAAGGGTAGAGGGAGAAGCGACGATGAGACTAGAATGAGGGAATCAACGATGGAGTAGCGTTGACGGAGTGATGGCCGGAGATCGGAGAAGGGAACCTGTTTATTTGGAGCGAGGGCCGCGGGAAAACGCACTATATAAACATTAAAGAGTAAATCACGATTTACGTCCTTCTGGTTTATTAATACTTTTGATTTTCATCCCTGTTATTTAGAAATTATGATTTTAGTCCCTATACTTTATAATTTATTGTTGTCTTCATTTATATACTAGTTTCTACCTTCAAATAGTAAAAAAATTGTGAATCACACACACTGAAACAATAATAAATTATAAATAATAAGGACAAAAACAATATTACAAACCATAAGAACGAAAACCACAATTTCTAAATTATAGGGTGTTTGAGATTGTTTATTTAAAGTGTTTATTAACGTATTTCCATGTGGTACCATTGGTTTGGTACCGGTAATAAATAGTTTTTTAATAAGTTGTTTTATTCTAACTTATTAACTTATTCCGATGTGGTATCAGTGTTTGGATAGGAAAAAAAATGAAATATTTATCAACTTATTACGTTTTGGTATTCCCATAAGCTAATCCAAACACTTTTTATAGAACTCTGGTTTGACACAAGATAAGTTGAAGCACTTTCACCAACACAAAAAAAAAAAAAAAAAAAAAAAAAAAAACATAAGTTGTTTTAAATAAGCAATCCCAAACAACCCTATATGAATAAAAATTACAATTTTTAACAAACTATAAGGACAAAAAACGTAATTTACTCTACATTAAAATATAACAAGTTTATGAACTCTACATTAAAATGTAACAAGTTTATGCAATGGAGGGGTATACAAATAATATGAATCCACAAAAATATTAATAAATGTTCAAGGTCTTAATCATTCAAAATAGAAAGATAAATTGTGTTTTTTTTCAAACTTTTAATAGAAAAATATCTCAATTTTAGATTAATTACAAATCAAAAGAAATTCATAAATTGCAGAAAAACACATATATCCGACATTCTAATGTTTATGCATAAACAAGAATTATAAAGATAAGATAACATATAATGAAGTAATTTGTTTTTGGTTTAATAATATAATTTTTATAAAGATAGTAATCAATAATTATGTTATAACTCAATAATTATCCTAATTATATTTTAAATATATTTAAAATGAGAATTTTATCATGTAGTTGATTATATTTATCTACAGTTAGTTATACGAATTCAAATGTGGAGCTTAATAAGTTGTATTTATGCACAATTGTCTTGAATTTTAAATAATATACATCAATAAACAGTATTTCATGTATAAAATATAGTTTTTAAAAGTTTTTATCAAATACTTTATAATATAATATAGATAAAATGGAAACCGAAGTATTATACTTTTTAATGAATATGAGATGAAATGTAAAAGGACAATGACGCCCCCTCATTTAATAAAAGAGTTGGTGACTATAACCAAAACAAAGACGAAAAAACATAATTTAAAAACTATAAAAACGAAAATATCAATTTTTGGCAACCAACGTATGGAAGAAAAAAAACGTGATGTTGTTCGGTTTGTTTTCTGTTAAGATCTGTATGAATATAGTTGTCTGTATCGATATAGTTGTCTGTATATTAACAGATAAGTTGTTGTTTGATTGTTGTGCTGAATAAACAGTCTGAATGTCATAAATGACTATTTTACCCCTAGTCTGAATGTGAGACAAAAATAATTTTGTATATAGTTTGCTATCTGCAATGAAACATTAGTTTTATCTTTGCTATTTTTGGTGGGATATACCGCTCCCATACCACTCTCTTATCGTTCATACCTAATCGGTGTTCCCCGAGAATCCATATACCAAAATAACTTTGTCGTTCTTTATAAGTAAAGCACAAATCGTTTTAACAGATCTGGTTCTGTATGAATAGATATCTTGAAAACCAAGATCTGGTTTTGTACAAATCGTTTCTAACAGATCAAGAGGAGCAGAAAATTGATATGTAATGGAGCAAAAATCGATGACGATATGTAACAGATCGAAGAAGATAGAGCTGGAAATCGATGAAGAACGACATACCTTAGATCTGGAGAACGATGGAGTAGCGACCAATGGAGGAGAAGCAATCGGCGGGTGGAGCAGTAGGTTTTCTTCAATTGATGGTAAATTAGGGAGAGGGGTAGATGGGGAAAATAAATGTAATTAATTGGCTGAGTAGATAGGATATTACTTTTTCAGCAGACAGATTCAACTATTGGCTGAGCGATTAAGCTCCTACCGAACACATAGGTATAGCTGTGCGAATCAACTATATCTACTATACAGCTCATTAAGCTGTTACCAAACAGCCCCGTAGTTTACTCTAAAATTAAACAAGGCATAAACCATACCAAGAAATTGATGTTGGATTAAAGCAAACTGTGACATTGCCATAACTCACTAGTCAATGGCATGATTGAAAATTAATCCATAACGATCATATTGAATAACATACATTAGCGTTCATATCATCTTTTTTACATAAAATGGACAATATAATCAAGAATCTCGATTTCAGTTGCGGTACGCACCCAAATCGCTACTAAATTTCTGTAACTATCGTGTTCTTCTATATTACATCGTTCTCGATTTCAAACATAATCAAATATTATTGCAATTCACAAAAACAAAAATATGTAAACAAAATACAGGTGAGAATGAGAGGGATAATAAGCTGCAATAAAAAACACCTTCTGATCCCTTCTTATCTTACCACCTTAACCATATGCCAAAATCAATCATGTCAGCACCAGATTAGTATTTTCAGGCCACCGTCTTGGCGGCAGCCTGACGGAGCCACGGATGTCGCAAACACTGCTGTGCCGTTGGCCGCTTATCTGGTGCAAAATCAAGAATCGGATTCAAGAACTCTGCAAATTCACGAGCATCTGTTTCCTGAAACTTGAATTTGTCAACCAGTAAGCGACTGATTGATGAGTATTTGAGTCTACGGATCCTTTTGAGGTCCCCGTGTCTATCAAAGTAATCTTTCGATCTAAGCCCTCCAATGGCTACCTGTTTCAGTAGGCAGTAAAAAAACATAATGTAAAGTAAAGGTATCAATCAATATATAGTGTTTAGAGGAGCATCCAGGGGGTTGAATATGTGTTACCTTCCTAGGTATCTTTCCTAGGAGTTCCATCATTAGAGCAAGATGGTCCTGCATCAGATAACACCATGTAAGCATATCATCCGATGGTAAACATAAATATTTAGGCTATGTTTGGCAAACTAGCTGATAAGTTAGTTGTTAGCTAAAAAGCTAGTTGTTGGCCGATAAGCTAGCCGCCACGTTTGATAAGAACTAATTGATAAGCTAGATGACAATGTAAAATGACCTAAAAGGACACGTTGAAATTAAATTGGGAACATATATATAGGACATAATTGGAAAAAAGCGCTAGAGCTTATTAATATGCTACCTGAAATCGCGGTTCAAAAAGCTAGCTTATGACTCAAACGGGTTTTTTTCAAACAAATAAGATTGGCTTATGGTTGCCAAACATGGCCTTTCTACTGGATTGGTTTGGTTCGATTCTGAGATAATGGTTCGTTGTTAGCCACGGTCTAGCTTAGAGCAACTGGGAACAAGGAAAGATGCAATACCTCATCTTCGCTGAAGCCTTGTCCTGGCTTGGGAGCAAACATCATTTCACCGGTAGCAAGCTCAAAAGCAGTGCAAGCAAATGACCACATATCAACTGGGAACGAGTAGCCTGACTGTAGAATAACTTCAGGAGCTCGATATTGTCTCGTTTGAATTTCCTCTGCAATTGGTTTATTTGCCCAACATGCATTTCCCAAATCCACAATCTTGCATCTGAAGTCAATACCATCAAGGCATCTTTCAGGCTTCGCAACAGCTCCTATTGCACCTCGTCTTTCTGCTGCAATTTTCGCCACTGCCCTTTTTGCCCTCTGCTTTAGCTTTTTCTCAATTGCATTCACCGCCACTTCACCTTTCAAACTTGCCTCAGACCGTTCAAGAATGGGGGTCATTTTTGATCTAATAGGGTCTTTTGATGGATTTATAGTGGAAAGGAGAAGTATATTTTCAGGTTTTAGGTCTGTGTGTATAATACCAAGTTCTCTATGCAAATAATCAAGTCCAATCAGTATGCATCTGCATATCTCCCTTACCTTGATCAAGTTAAGGCCTTTATAACGGTTATATCTGATGAGGTGCAATATGCTGTCTCCGAGAAACTCAAGAACCATGCATGAATGTTGTCCATTTGGGCCTCTGTGCTTGAAGTGATCCACTAATTGTACAACACATTTTTCGTTTTTAGGGTCATTTTCAACGATAGCAGAAAGAATCTCGATTTCATGGAGGGCAGCTTGCACAAATTCTGGTGCACTTTTCTGGATCTTGAGTGCAACGTACTTCTACAAAATGAAGCAACCAAAATAACCACATAAGAACCGGCTATAAAGGGGTCATGACAGAAGCATTTCAATGTCTATATGGAAGATTAAGAAAAAGATAAGAGAATAAACAAATAAATATCCAGATCATGACCTCTAACCATCGAACTATTTCTGCTGTTCGGTCCAAAACTTATGTATATAAGCACTAAATGAAAGCATAAATATTACGAGTACCATAAAGAATCACACACATCACAATTCGACCTATGTAGGTGTTACCTAGAACTGGCAAGAGTCTGAAAATCTAAGAAGAAATGGTCTTATCTCGAGAAATTTATTGCAACTTCCTACAAAAATTTGGTCATTCTGGAATAAATAGAGTTTGCGATCCAATAGTAAGTTAGAAGGTTAAAAGTGTGCAAATAAAAATAGAACGCAAAAGAATGTCTGGATTTCTAAACTGTATGTTCTGGAAGGGATTGAAACACATCTGGAATGAGGAATACCAAAAACAGAACTCACTAGCGAGTAGTCTCCATAACCACCAAAATAAGTTTCAGATTGAATATGTTTGAGATATTCGAGGGGAAAATATGTGATTACTGCTGATTGTTACAACTCTATCGACAAAAGCCGTTCACGAAATTGTGCAATATGTCCAAGGCTTTCTAAATATGCACAGACTTAAATGCTACAGGTTAAAAAAACTACTATTCCGGCCAATTATCTACAGTGGAACTTGATATGCAAAAGATCATACCAATTTAGAACTACCCGAGCTTACAATATTAAGGTGCCCCTGGTAAAAGACTCCTAAATAGAAGAGTTGTGTTATATTCTCCACTGTAAAACTATATCATAGAATGATACTCAGATTAATAAATACGATCCAGGTAGAATAGGGCAATGTACTTGAAGAAAAAGATGAAAAATAAACTACAGATGCTAGACCTGACCCGTGCCGATTTTCTATATGGCGTTGGCTTCAACTAAGCAACAACATAGGCAGGCTCTCAGGCTCCTTAGCAAGAGGTCGATAAAATTTGGAAGCCAACTTCACCATCAGCCTGGCCAGCCCAAGTTTCATTCATAGGCAATGCTGGCTACAGGAAGAGAAATGCACAATTAAGCATACTTCAAACGCTGGAAAACTGAATGATACGCGGAAGTCCTTCAATTATGCACAAAGGCCATAAGCATTTTGCCCAATCTTTGTTAAACGGATTGATTAAAGAGAGCGAGGAGAAAAGAAGATGCAACACCGTCAATTTTATTTGAATATCAATTCTATATAAGCAATCTAGACTCATGATCCAATTGTTGGGTATGGAGACGGATTTATTATGCACACCTGATTTATGTTGTGATGGTTATTCTTGATGGTTGAAGACTATTTGTCTCTTATCCTTTTATATCTTCACCTTCCTTGTAATAGAATCCGGTCTTCTTCTTTGTATATATTAAAAACTTCACGAAATACAATAAAACTCCTAGCATCCTCATGAACGCTGGCCAATTACCAAACCATGTAAATGGTCTCCTTTTTTGTTTCTTTATGCTTTCTGCAATAGTTGCCTTTGTAATTATAGATCCTAACACCTATATTACTAGACACTAACATGGTGAACTTTGGAAGATTGTGAATTTGAGAATACAACATGTCTTTTTCATTGATCAAGCAAAAATGAAATCCTTAGAGCAAGATCAATGGAAGACAACTCAACAAGCCTTGTTGCCAGAATCTAACCTACCAAAAGTTACATACAGTATGCATAACCTGAACTCCGACTAGAAATACACATCTTCAAGATATCTTAGTTTAGTTGGCATTCTTCATTCGTAGAAATTCAACTAAATGCAACCCATCGAAGAAGGCACTAAGTAAATCACACAAAAGCAATCCAATGTATAACTTTAGCTTCATTAATAACTAACTAGAGATGTACACGTTTTTTGAACAAAGGATCTACATTTGTTACCAATGATAACAGGATTCGTTTTTCATACAGAAATGATTTCAATTATTGCTGAATACGATCATTAGGTTAAACATTACATCTGGATCACGGATCTCGCCAATCTGAAGTTCAAAACCGAAATGATAAAAACCTAGAAAAATAGGACAATTGGAAGAAAGAGACGGAGAAAAAAAAAACTTACAGATGTTTGGGTATCGTAAGCAAGCCAAACGGTGGAAAATTGACCCCATCCGAGCTTCCGTTGAGCGAGAAACCGACCGCTAGCGAATGAATCACCGATTCTGACTGCGTGGTAACCTCCTTTCCTGTAGGAATCCATGTCCTCATCTTCCTCCTCAGAGGCCGATGACGAAGAACACGACATGATTGATTGATTAATTAATTAATTAATGCTTGATTTGATTGGATTGGATTGGATTGATTGACCGATTGATCTCTGATCCTCTATGTTCCTTTAGAAACAATTGAAGTTCCCTTTTCCCGAATTAGGAGAAATTTTGGGAAAGTAGTGGCCTTCAATCCAATGCTCTCTCCACTTTTTGCTCTTCTTTAAATTCTTTGGAAGGTCTTGCCTTTTTGAAGTTTGGTTGATGGGGTAGGGTTACCTTTCAATCTTATTTACATTAATTGATTATGCTTAATTACTCTCTTTTCTTATCAATTAAGGGGTGTTTGGGATTGCTTATTCAAAATAACTTATGGATTTTTTTTTTTTGTAAAAGTGTTTATTAACTTATGTGGTATAAAACCGAAGCTAAATAAAATAGGGTTAAAATTATAAACTGGTAATGAGCAGTTTTTCATAAGTTATGAAAGATTAACTTATCAAAAACAACTTATTACCGGTTTGGCACTGGTATAAGCAGTTTTTTTTTCTTATCCAAACACAAGAAAACAGCTTATCACCGATGTCAGACTGAAATAAGTTAAAAAACAGCTTTTATAAGCAATCTCAAACACCCCTTAAATATTCATTTTTCATAACAACTAATTAAATTAAATTTCCAACAGAAACCAACTCTTTCATAGATAGATAGATAGATATATACATACATACAGAGAGGGGTTGGTTATTATACAACCCTTCACATTTGTGTAACCAATACAACTCAATCTCAACCGTCCATTTCATTTGATTAATATGTGATTTCATAGAAATTTTGATTGTTTCTTAATATAAAGTATTGATCATAATTAATGAACCATATTCATCTTCTATAAATATTCAAATCATAATAAATGAACTCTCATCATTTCCATAAATATCTTAATTTATTGGGTTGCATTGRTTGTACAAATRCGATRAGTTGTATTTGAAACAAACTCTCTCTCTCTCTCTCTCTCTCTCTATATATATATATATATATATAAATTGCATATATATTATTCGTATGTACATATACATACCCTACAAATGAATGGTTACTAGAGTGGATCTTAGCTTTTTATTTTTTATGATTTTCTCATGAACCAGACTTTTGTATGTATGAGTTTATAGTATTTATGATATGTTTGATTAGATGTAATGTAACAACAAATAAATGAGATATGGAAAGAGTTGTTACATTTCATTATCGTATTTAATGAGCATATAGAAACGTAACGGTCTGATATATGGATTGATTGTAATGTATGTAGAAGGACAAATTTATAACACCCCATATTCAATATTCTCAAAATGGCAACAACCATGAAACAAGTAGTTTATAGCTAGGCCATGTCAAGTGGCTTACAAAACAATTTTTTACCTTCTTTTTTTCTATTTAGCGAGTAACCTAAAAGTAAAAAGATACAAGAAGCCAAGTGATGTTAGTTCAATATACGAAGTCGAGATACAAGTCCTAAGCAAAATGTGAAATGGAGTAACAATACTCGATCATGTTTTTTTTTTAAGTATATAATATTTATATACGGCAATTAGAACAAATAAACTCACACACCTTTCTCACATTTGGTGAGGTTTGAACCGCTAACCTCCTAGGAGACCAAAGACTCACATACCGTTAGGCCAAAGGTCCTTTGGTATACTCAATCATGTTGTTGGACATCATTTTTTTTTTCATCTTTAACTATTGTCATCCATGTCTCAAACTGTCGTTGAATGTATCGACCATGTCATATTTCTTTCGTCCTTGCAACTGTACAAAATAATAAATGATGGAACTGTGTGTTACCACCGGGTACAATTTCTATCAATGGAATGACAGTGGATGTGTTATTAACGACTTTTTGATCTTACGACATTTTAAGGAAGACAATAATACACGATGATTACGTGGTTATGATGTTATGGGGGCAGGGTTCAAATGGTGGTGAGCACAACTAGGTCTTTGATAACCAGCCATTCAAGTTTCATGTGTTGGATGTTTTTACTATTGTCATTGATGATTTTTGTTCAATACATATGTTACGAGTTTAATTTTAGCATCGGTGGTGGAAAAAAAATGAGGTTAACATATACACAAAGTTCGACTTTAGTCAGCAATGAGTTAGAAAAATTCACATCAACCAAGTATTTAATTTTTTTTAACATCTTCATTTTGTTTGAAAACCGAATAACCATGGTTTGAAGTACCATCAGGTATTTGGTTTCCAAACTAATTCATTTGGGTTCGATCACAGGCCCCCCACTAGCCTGTAGCCGCTGAATAAGCCAAAAAATATCTTTTAATATCGGTGTCCTTGGAGGCGGCATTTCGTTATGAGACTAGTTAAAATTGCTGATAATCAACTTTTTATCCAAATTATTTGGACTTTTTATCTCATCTAGTCTAGTTCATGCTGTAGAGTGTTACGTTTTTCTAGACAAACGAGTTATAACCTAAGACTTAAGAGTGCAACCTGATAATTGACGTAACCAAAATTCAATGATATTATGGATTATACAAGTTTGTTGTGTAGGATCTTATATTAAATGTTTATTTATTTATTTTCAGAATACCAAAACTAAGTAAAATGAATGGAAGTGTGTGTATATATAGATTTGGAATTATGTGAAATCAAATTGATTTCATGAGACTTATGAGATCATTTTTTTACATTCGAAATTTCACAGCAGAACATTGTAAATCTAACATTCATAGTATTTTGTTGTGAATGTTCGGATTTTTTTTTTACTTTCACAATGTTTTGTTGTGAAGTTTCAAATGTAAAAATGTGGTCTCATGAGTCTGATGAAAACAGATTGGTCTCACCAACCCTATATATATTAGTGTATAATATATTTATTACATATTGGGAGATTTTTAGATATTACATACTTATATACTTGTGATTATAATGATCAATTAATCTGTTAAAAAGGTAAAATGTTTAACTTGACACGTAATTTCATAAAAATGTTTGACTTTTAATTACCTGTTAAACATGTCTGTTAACAAAAACAAAAACAAAATATTATGTAGGAGTGTAAAGGCATAACGTTGACTATGTTGAAAACATTTGAATCACCAAGCTTAAATACTTCTGCTTTAAGTATTGTAACCAATTCAAAACAGTTTCAGTGTATTAACATACCCTACTAATTATATTATTATTGTAGTTATTAGAACAAAAAGTTGATTTACTGGCTCCTTACAAAACCCTGTCCCCTAGGAACCACATATGAGGAAATATTTCAGAGTTGATTCAGTGACTGAGGCTATCAAAATGGTTCAATCCCGTTTTCTACAGGATTCGAACGTGAACCCATTGTTATTTTTTTTTTCATTGAACATGTTTTAAAAAAGATAGCTAACTTTAAAACTACAAGAAGATACTGATAAATTATCATCAAACTTTAATCAAGATAAAAACAAAGATGATAATTAAGATTGACAAGAAATCAACGGTGTAAATAAATCATAGAGCCGAAGAAAGAATCAATATTTTCCATCAAATTATTATTCAACTTTTGTTAATCTTTAATTAATCACATATGTTTATCGATTCAAATAAAATTATCAAAACAAGGTCGGGTTCCAGTGTAAAATATAAGCCCGTATTTAGAGGTATCAAATATGTGGTGAAATATCGTGTGAGAGGGCAGTTATGATGAGAAGTATAAGAAAAGATCTATAACCCTTGATCACTTTTAATCTCATGTCCACCAATGAATTGCGTTTTAGAAGGGAATTGTTCCGATGCACCTCATTAGTCTTCGACGTTCGATTAGGATTGATCCAAGGGTGGAAGTCTCTTCTTATGCTTTTCACCATAACTTCCGTTCTCACATGAACCCAACCCTCAAATATGTAAGCTTTAAATGGTAATTTGAAATTGAATTCGGTAACCAATATCTTGCCTAAATTTATGCTTAAAACCTTGCAATTCATACAACAAATCATGCAATTAATACAATAACAAACAAGACTCTCCATAAGCACATTATGGTACACAATTTCTAAACATAATAAACAAACAAACACTTTACCTTCATCCATCCAATTCTTCGAATTTGGTCATCACTTTGAATCACAATTCCAAACACCCCCATCGCGTCTCTTAAACATGGCCCCAAATGGTCCACGTTCATGAACCAAGGTCGAACCAACGACACATTATTGTCTATGTATATCTACAAACATACACCCCTTCAATCCATGCTTGGATCTTCATCTCAAAATTTCAAGAAAGATCGCAGGCAATGGTTTCTCAACAATCTCATCTCTTCTCCTTTTGACCAAAAATGACCACTTTTTCCTTCAAGCTTTAGGTGCAAGAATCTCTAGCAAAGAAGTCCATGTGCCAGTAACAGCCAAAATCAAACCAAAAACAACAAAGGCTCCATCTTTGATCCACCCAGCCCAACCCACCTCATCTTTATACACCATCAAATGGAACAAAGCAGGCAACACAAACCCTAACACAATGCAAACACTACTACCCACCAAAGACAAGAAATCAGCAAAATTTGGCACCAAAAGAGCCACTAAACTCACCACTAAAACCATCCCCCATCTCACCCACAAACTATACCTTCCTTCACAAAACATTCTCTCAAAGACTTCATAAACAGGGTTCATCATTATAGGAAAAGTAAAGAACAGATTCAAGCAAAGACCCAATTGTACCAAACTGCTCAACCATCCTTGCCCTAAATTTGTAGTGATTATGTCTTTGGTTTCATCACCAAATGCAAAGTAACCAAATACACCAAAAGATGCAAACATTACAGCAATGAAACCTATTGTTACACTTAACACTTTACCGAACTTGTTTTTGTTTTCCATCTCTGATTCTAATGGCAATACCATTCCGATCCCTTCGAAGGCGTAAACCGCCACACCGATGCCGTAAAAGAACACAGAAAATCCACCAAATGCTTGTAAAACTGGTTTAGCATTCAAGTATACGATCACTTCTTCCACCATAACCACAGCCATGGCTCCGATGTCAACTACGTCAGCGAAAATGCTTAAAGGGGCCAAATGGGTTAATGTTGGAATCGAATTCAATCCTAATTGAAATGGGAAGCACGCCCAGATGTAAAAAGTTTTGGCGGATAACCCTAGAATATTAGGGGTGGTGGGATTTGATGTTGATGTGAAATTGAAGATGTTCATCAAGGTGTTGGCGACGAAGATGAGGTAACTTACGCAGAAACCAGCCTGGGAAAGCACGATCATGACGTCAACGGCTGTTCGGCCGACGGGACCGGCGACGGTGAATCCGAGATCTCCGAAGGAATTGATTTTGGATAAGCCGTTGACCGATTCGAGCTTATGGCGGGTTTTGACGAGCATCATCATACAGTGGTTGGTGAAGTAAGCGACGGCGAAGACGGTGAGGGCTCCGGTGGCGTATCCAGTGCGTTTGAAGGTGTAAGGGAGGCCAAGAACGCCGGCGCCGACGATGGCGATGAAGACGTTGGCAAAAGTCTTCAATTGGGAGGAGAGACGTGGGGATTTTGAATCGAGAAGTGGGCTTGTTTCTCTTGGGAGATTCAAGACATGGGACGATGAACTTGCTTCTGAGTTCTTGTTAACATCATCAAATCCCATGATTCTTTCTGGGTTTTGCACACTGAACTTGAGTGATTAGAAGCAATTGGTGGTGAAGATTGTTTGAAGCTTTGGCAATGGACTTTTCAGATCTACAAGAGCCGGAGATTGAGGTCGGCGATGTATATATAGACGGCAATCGAATTCACACACGTCTTCGGAAGGCAAGAGATTATTTAAATGGGATAAAAACAGTAGAAGACGAAAGAGGGAAAAGGCCAAAGGATTCAACAATGGTGTGGTGTAGATGTAAGAAGCCACTTCTGTTCTCTGAATTAAATATGATTCAGGTAGGTACATCATTGATCTTGATTTTTTGGGAAATTTATAAAAATAACCGGTTTACACAACCCTTTGCCACAAAATAACCACATTTTAGAGGTTTTGCCAAAATA